ATCCTGGATTTGGAGTGTGGAGTGATAGAGCGTAATAGGAAAAAGAATCTTGGATAGAACGTCACGCAAGGGTTTGTAAATTTTAGGATAGGCCTAATTGGATTTTACCTCTGCTTCTACTTCTAATAACAATTGACTTTTAAACATCAGGTACAATTATAATATTTATTTTGAGTAATTAATTTACAAATCAAATTAACATCACATTTTACAGGAGCAGTAATACCTCACTGGACACCACCGGCTAATAATTATCAGTCACCGTCTAGTAGCGCAACAGCATGTGACGGAGGTAGTGGAAGCGGGCATACTTACTCAACATCTGTCAGTGGGCAATCCTATACCAGCATCGGCCCTCACATCAGTTTTATAAGTGAAAGGTCTACAGAACCGAGTACAGAAACCTTCAAACAGGTATTTAGCTGGTCTGGTATGGTAGATGGTGTAAATCCGTCTGAGCTTGTTTCTCAACACGAGTCGTTAAATCCTGAAAGTGAAAACGACAAACAATTTAACATCGGTTCGACGTCAGACTCATTATCGTTTACCTCTACTGGGGCAGAATTATATGAGACTGACACATCATATGAACCTTCCGTTACTTCTAAAAATGATGGACAAGACATACCTGTTGGTTCGAAATCAGATACACCATCTTCAACATTAACGACTAATCGACAAGATTGGCAGGGATCACCAGAGTCTCAAACGTCATATGAGTCAGCTCCAACACCCGAGACTAAGCCTACTACCACGTCTGAATCGGAAAATACTACAGATATATTTTTATACACCGTAGAGGTGAGCAAAAATATAACTACGGATTCCTTGTCAAATGAAGACTCCAGTATTTCACAATCAGACTGGTTAATTACAGGCGTTACAGAATCAACCAGGAATGTATCAGAAGAAATGGTAGGTCGTAAAAGGCGGAACATTGACGAAGAAGAAATGGTTACTAACAGTAAGATTCAATTAAGTTAAACATTGGTTAATATTTTATACACTGTTATTATTAGGAAACTGCAACCGGTACATGTTAAAGACGATGGGAAAATGAAATGAAGCGTAATAACATTTTTTTTTCAAAAGCACGTTTTATTCGTTAGAGAACAAAAATATCGGCTGAATAAATATAGGTTCCAGCTGAAATATACAAATGGAATAAAAACAAAAAAATTACTAATTTTTTGCATAAAACAATTATGCATAGTCTCAACTTAATTTTCCTTATAACATTATAAATATTTCTGTATTTAAGGAATTTCTGGCATCACTTGTGATCTAAGTAATGCGTTTCATTGTTCATCCGGTGAGTGCATCCAAATATGGATGACATGTAACATGTTTCCTGACTGTAAAGATGGCAGCGATGAACTAGATTGTGGATCTGTGTTAGACGGTAAGTTCCAAGGCTCTTTTAAATATTATTCTCCTACTACTACTATTAGGCCTACTACTACTACTACTGCTACTGCTACTGCTACTGCTACTGCTACTGCTGCTGCTGCTACTGCTACTGCTACTGCTATTGTTACTGCTGCCGCTTCTGCTGCTGCTACCGCTACTGCCATTGCTGCTGCCGCTGTTGCCAGTGGCGTAACTGGGTTGTGAGGGGTCCTGGTTCAATAGTAGAGTCGGGGACCTTCGTGCATGCAAATTAAAAATGTCAACTAAGATGTGCACCACTGATGGATTGGTTTTGGAGCAGGGGTCCTTCCGATTTTTATAATATTTTGACAATAAATTTTTTGATTTTTTTAAAATTTTTAATTTATATATGTTCTCAGAGGGCATCTTTGAAGAGCCGGACAGATCAACAGAATAAAAAACAACCAATCAATCTAAATTGGTATACCTTAGGGTAGTGCCTTGGGTCCAATTTTATTTTTGTTATTCATAAATAATGTTATTTTAAAATTAATTTTTCCTGGGAATTGCAGTATATTTGAAGTTAATGTTGGTATTTATGTTCAGGATCACAAGTTGATATATTAAATACAAAATTACAAATAGGCCTATTATAGACAATATTGGTAAATGGTATGTCGGGAATAAGTTGAAAATACATGCAGTTAAAACAAATGTCATGCTAATTACATTTTGAATAAAATAATTTTCAAATCCTCATTCTTGAAAGCGAAATTCTATATTTTGGAAATTTTGCATGAAATCTGTCAACCACGCTTTCATGGCCGAGGTTGTTTCACCTATCACAATGTATTCCAACCATCATGAAGCTATCTAAATGAGCATTTGTCATAACAGAACGCAAATTATTTTTAATTAGGCTCATTGAATTATTATTATTATTATTATTATTATTATTGTTGTTGTTGTTGTTGTTGTGATGAAAAGTTACACAAACAATATGGTGGCAAAACGAATATTACATGTAAATATTTTTTTTTATTTGTTTGTTCCCCGACAAAATTTATCGTCTTCCCCGACGAGGGGGGGGGGGTGCTATAGTAGCTCCCAGCGCCCCCCCCCCCTCTGGCGCCACCACTGCTACCACCACTAACATAACATTAAATTCAGTGTAACAGTGTACTGTAGCAAGATAACACCAGTTTCAAAAGTAGTAGAAGTGACAGCAACAGTAACATATTTCGATTCACATATTCCGTCAATGTATATGCTGAAGTCGGATAAAAACTAAAGGACCAAATATATTTTTTGTGTTGCTGTTCGGCGGCAGATTGCCACCCCGGTGAAGTGAGATGCGTATCTGGAGAAATGGAGTGCATCCCCGCTGTTAAAGAATGTGATGGCGTTGAAGACTGCCTCACTGGTGAGGATGAAAGTAGGATCTACTGCCAGGAAATAACAGGTAAGAATTCATTTCAGACTTGTTGTACTGTATATATATATATATTTTTTTTTACTATTTCAGCAAGCTGGAGAACTTTCAAGATGACCGCTATGGTAATTGTTACATATTCAATCATGGTCGGGATTCCCACGTAGTCGCTAACTCAACAAGAACAGGAGCAAAATACGGTAAGATGAAAAATGGTAGGCGTATAAGTAATATGATTATAATTACGCTTATATCAAAGGCTATGTGAATGATGGACTCACTGAGGGTCTCAAAAAAAAATGTCTGCGATTGGAAACCTACCGGTCTGAAACTATAAAAATGTAACAACATTCTATCTCACAAAGTGAATATAATTCCAGCCTAATGGAGGAAAAAATAATGACTTTTTAATTCGCGACAAGATCATGAGCAACAGAAGAAAGAAGCGACTGTATCTCATCTAGGAATTTCGGAACTGATCCATCTGGCGGCATATAAACAGCACAGAAATAAATTGCCTTAATATATGGAGATGACAATCGGTAAGACAAGTATTCAAATAATATAAAAAACAATTCACAAGTTATTAAATTGAGGGTGATCTATATAATATTGCTCTAACACCACCACGACAAATTCTCGAGATTTCGCTACGATTTTGTATTCAGGTGGACATAAATCTTTAACAACAGTCCTACGCAACCATGGTCTCCGTCAAAGTAATAATATCAAAAGATGATTCAAGTATTAATGCACAAAGAGCATACGCTTTATTGCACATAGAGCGACAATTTAGTACAGGGGTAGAGCCAGCGGGGGACCGGAGGGGCAGGGGCCCCATCGGGGATGGGAGAGCTGCCCCCCACCCCCGTCGGGAAGAAAAAGCACAATTCGTCGGGGAGAAAAAAAAATTATATGTATTTTCTACATATTAATAGACTCTAAAATCGATTTTATAAGCCTTTGAAATTCCTAAATTTGTCAAAATTTTCGGGGCTTCGCCCCCAGGACCACTTTTGTAACCTTAAAATCGAAGCTTGACCATGCCCACTTAGCTTTCGACGGGGAAATCTGACACTTTGTCAGGGCATCGGCCCCCCCGTCGGGGACCTCCCCCCCCCCACGTCGGGAAAATCCTGGCGCCACCCCTGATTTAGTAATCCACAATTTAGAACTGCTCTTAGTCTCCGCCGTAACCTCGTCTTCTTTCTAGCCCTACACCCTCTCTTCTTCAGTTTGATCTTGGTCAAATTAAGTTCATTGATAGTCCACCATACAATTGAACTTGGCATATGCACGAGGCCTGAGCATTTAAAGCATCTTAGATGATGTCTTCAGGCCTATAATAAAAAAAATTTCAATAGTAACTTAAACAATTGTGATGATATCAAGGTTCCTTGTTGTGGGCGGGTGTGTGTGTTGTGTGTATGTAGGGGTGGGTAGCGCTGTTCGGATGATACTATTCAAAAGCCTGTGGAGGTTAAAGGTAGGTAAAGGTAGGAGAATAACCCATAACTACCGTCATTGTGCTGAATTGGGTATGGGCGTGGTCCCTGACTACGTAGTAGAAAAGAGGCGCTTCATGGTAGCTACATGTACATCAAAACGACAGAGGCTGAAATCAACCATAACCAGTCCTGACCATAACATCGGGGCAACTCTTCCGAAAGAGGCAATGGGTTGTTTAAAGTACACACGAGGCAGATGTAGACACTGGACCTCCATTTGAAGTCCTTATCCGAGAAGACTTGGTTCTACCAACCGAACCATGGACGAGGAGCGCTGGAAGCTAGCGGCGCCCCTGCCTTACCGCTCGGCGACTCGACTTCATTTCAATTCCAATTATTTTGGAAGTTGATCCGTAATGACGTAGGCTTATATGGCATAGCGATATAATAATAATAATAATTCTGGATTTATATAAATACTTAATGTTTTAACATTAGATATAATTTTATTCGTAGGTCTTAAACTAACACTTTTTATTGAGCAAAAGGAGTATATAAGTATTTATGGACGGGAAGCTGGTGTCAAGGTCGTGGTAGATACACAGGATCGAGTTAAGTTTCCTCAAGATGAAGGAATCATCATCAGGCCCGGTGCTATTACGTTTGTCAGCCTTCGATATGTAAGTTTCAAATACTTCAATCAAAGTTAACAAAAACAAAATTAACACCGATAATCAATGCATTATTATATATATATTTTTTACAAATAGTGAATGTCTGAAAAATTGTATTCACTGGTTGTAAGCTGACTCGCATTTTCAAGTGTCAATAGCCCAGACTAGTATTTAGTATCGGGTACATAGTGAATGTTTACTCCTATAATTTGTAGCCCATCAGGGGTCCACGTGTGTACAAGTAAAATAATCATACGAGCATGATATGCATAATACATGATATAATATTTTTACTCTCGTCTCCAAAGGAGCAGGCGAGGGTATTGTAAAAGCTCGTCTGTCAGTGTGTCATGGTGTCTGTCGCAGTGGCGGCTCTAGGATATATTTTCTAGGGGGCTAAGTTGTCCGACAGGGGGACTTGAGCTCTTAGGCTCGAGCTGGGGTTGGGGTTGAGAGGGGGTTTCCCCTCCCAAATGAGATTTTTTTTAAAAAGAATATCAACCTCTAGATGACCGAAAATGGCACTCTCAGACTGTGACAGACATGTGTTGGCTTGGTGCGGCCTATTTTTATGTTTTATGGTCTGACTGCCCGACGAGCTCTGTCCGGCGGGGGGCCTGACCTGTCCGGTGGGGACTTAAGCCCCCTGCCCCACCCCCTCCTGCTGGCGCCGCCACTGGTTTGCCGGTCTGTCTGTCGTTCTGTCGGTCTGTCTATCTGTGGTATATATTTGTCTTTCCTGGCGCATAACTCAAAAACTACTGGACCGAGATTTACTTCAAAGTTTCTCACATTGACCATATTACATGTATCTCGGTCCTCCGCGAATTTGGTGCTGATCGGAAGTAATATGTATATTTCAGAACGTTAGGCCTGTATATTTTTCGATTGCATCTGACACAGCCACCTCGAGCAGATCGTTCGAACGAGTCGTTTAGCTAGGCCAGGTTGACTCAAGCGGATAGACCGCGGACCAACTCGAGCGGATCGACCGTGTGTCAAATTCAGGCCAGCAGTCCGGACGGTGTGCAAGCCCGCTCGATGGGCTTGCCACCTGAGGCCTATGATGCTACACTGTAAAAACAGCGTGGAGCATTTAAACACAAAGCTCCACGCAATGTTGTTCCGTTTTTGGTGACACGTTTAAAAACTAAACGTGTTTAGACATACCTTAATGTATTTAGGATCTTGACGTGTTTAGCATTATATGTGCTTATTTGACACCATGGTGTTCAAATGCTCCACGCTGTTTTTACAGTGTAGGTCTCGTTTGGCGGATGGATTGGAGAAGATGCAGATTTTAAAATGTTTTTAAATATTTTTTGGCCGTATACGGATTCTCACAATCTGATGGCCCAACTTTATATTTAAAAAAATAATTGCAAATAATTAATGTATTAAAGTATTCTATAAATGCACAAATGATGAAAAGTAAAATAAATAAATAAAAAAATGTAATCAAGAGTGAGATTAGAACCTCACACAGTCGAGCACTTTTGCACTTCACCTGATACGTATGTTTAGTTAGCAATATTACACCCCTGTTATTCAACAACTAGCGGATGGAGCATATAGATATAGCGTAACAGGGCAAGCGTTTGTAACCTCGTTGTTGAATTAATATCATTATTTAAAACCTTAGAATAATTTCAGATTAATAAACTAATTTTTCCATGATTAAAGCAAACAAAAAACTACAGTATGAGTTGCAATTGAAAGCATTACAAGTATATAAACATAAATAAATCATAGAATTTCAATGTCTTGTATCTTAGAATGTAGTTTCAAAACTTGGAGAACCACACGGTAAATGTAACTCCGATTCTGAGAACTTTTTGAAAAATTTGCAAAAAGCGTATGGTATTACAGGGGACAACTTCAAATACGACACAGCGGTAAGTGGTAGGCTTTAAATTTTGTTTAGATTAGAACAGTGATTATTAACTTAACATAAGTACAAAGTGTTGCATCTTCTGTATTACTACTGTACTATGATAAAAAAAAAAAAAACCATTGGTAATCATAGTGATAATAAAATTTATTATGATAGGTCTATGTATAATGATGATGAGAATGATGATGAAGTTAATTGTATTGTATTGCATTGTATTATCACTGTACAATATTTATGCAACGTTTTCTAGGGATGCGAAAAAAGCTGCGTTATTATAAAAATCAAGGAGGAATGTGGCTGTACAGACACGGTCACTAAGGACGCCAATGAACGATGTGATGTGCTCAATAAAACACAAGGTCAATATAATACACAAAGTATATATATATATATATATATATATGGGTGTGTGTGTGTGTGATAAAGTAAATAATAATTAACGGTCAAAAAACGGCACCTCCTGGCCGACTTAGCTACTGTATCAGCAAAATTATTTATCTATATTAAGTAGAGGCAAAATAGACTAACATTGCACAAAATAAACACAGTGAAATATTATGATTGATATACGGTATAATGTTTACAGTTGTAGATAACTAATATCGAATTTAAACTCACCCCCCCACCCCCGTCAAGTCATCAAATTAATAAAATATACCTGACATCGTGATCATTATTGTTATTTCAGACGTATGCACACAGCTAATGTACTACCTCTACAACCAACAGCTATTGAATTGCAATTGTCTCCAACAATGCCAGTTAGTACTCATTTTCGCTTTCTTATTTAGAGAAATTATGAAACCTCCAGTGCAGAATTCTTAAACAAAAGAAATAGAAATTCAAAAAATAATATTGCCATGAGATATATACAGGACATTCTCAGCTAGTTTTCATCAATTAAATGCATGGTGAACAAATAAAACACACTTTTCTAATGATATTATTAATTTTGACATAATTTTAACTAAATGATGATATTTATTAATCCACATCAGGGGTTTTTCTCCTTTGTAATTAATGTTTGCCTATCTGCAACACTTGTTGCAGATCATACATTAATGATGAAACGGCATTAAGGTAATGTTAAACCTATCATTACATTTATGATTCAGTATACATCCTTCTGTAACTGTCGACTTACTCTATAACTTTTTTTAAATCATCGAAATATAATTATTTCATTTACATTTATTTATTAGCAAAGACGTGGCAAGGTTAGAAGTGTTTTTTCACTTGTTCTGTTCTCATCTTCGCCATCACGCAGATGATTAATACTGCCCTCAGTCGTCTCATATTATCAACTCCTTCAATATTTCACAAGATATCCATTCATCCTACAAATAAATATTTATGCGTATGTGACTTCTAACGTTTAATATATATTCTTTAATTTCACTTGTGTTTAATTTTATATATTGGTATTTTCTGGGGACTCGTTTTAAACATGACTCATATTTGTAAATATAAAAATAACATATTTAATAATTGAATATATCTTACTATCTACCAAGGAATCGGAAGATCCTACAACAGACAACATTGTTTTCATGTAATATCAAAGGATTAGAAAAACTCAGTAAATACCAAATCAATTCCAATTTGCCATTTTGATTCAGTTTATTGTTTTACCATATTATCATTTTATTTTTGTGTACGGTATTTAATATTTTTATCTGTATTTTAACATATTTTAAGTTCTATGACGTGACGAGCATTGTAATGGTCTCTTCTGAGAATGAATAAAGATTTCATTGACATTTTTGTTGTTCACAGTAAAGGATATTACAGCCAAACAGTATCACAATCTACCTGGCCGTCAGATGTCTACCTGGTATTTAGTTTCATTTCTAATCTAAAAGATACGATATATATATTACATACTTTTTGGGTTATACTTGAGTGTTTTTGCGATTTGATATAAATTTGTAAGTGAAGACCACGTGACTCTCAGCATGCCGCTGTAACACATTTTTTTTTATATTTAGCAGTTAAACACCGATAGCTTGTGAATAATTGAAAGATTTTGGTACCGTAGTTAATCTGAAATTTATTTCAAACTGTGTCCTCTTCAAGGATGGTAACTTATTCAACTATTTAAACAAGTATTTTAGTGTGATGATTTTTCAAGACAGTATTAAGCTATAACTTTCATTTATCTTTACAGAGCCAGCTTTTACGGAGTATCCACAGTATTAACGATAAAACGCGATACATTAATGATGAAACGGCATTAAGGTAATGTTAAACCTATCATTACATTTATGATTCAGTATACATCCTTCTGTAACTGTCGACTTACTCTATAACTTTTTTAAATTATCGAAATATAATTATTACATTTACATTTATTTATTAGCAAAGACGTGGCAAGGTTAGAAGTGTTTTTCGAAGAACTTAATTATCAAAGCACAACGGAGGAACCAGCATATCTTGTGAGTAAAATGACCTTGTTGGGCGTATGCATACATTTAATTTGAATACAATAACGCACGATTTACATACTGTAAATTAATAATAAACACATATTTAAACAAGCAATAGCCTAGCCGCATTGTGATCGCTTATGTTTAATATTCATTAGATCGAGAACCTAATTAGCGATATTGGCGGTACGGCTGGATTGTACATTGGCATCTCAATCATCAGCTTCTGTGAGTTCATCGAGTTGGTGTTCCAGTGTTTGAAATATACAAAGGCGTGGATGACCCGTAGCAAGAAATAGGTACATTGTCACCAACCGACGATTACCCGTGATTATGTAACCTGATGACATTATAATGAATAAATTATACAACTTTTTAGAAATATTTTTTTTATATACATTTTAATTTTGACTCCGCCCTTTAAATTAGAATTCAACTAGAAATAATTGTAATGTTCATCTGTATTATTATGCCTACTGCTAAATACACACAAAGATGTACTAACAAAATTAAACATATTAGGGATTTCAGAACTTAACTGCACACATTAAAACATTCAGTGTATGTCACTTTCACACATCACCTCTGTCCTCTAGTAGATACAGTACTTCACTGACAGACAGATAGATAGATAGATAGTAGATACAGTAGTAGATAGAGAAAGAGGCCTAACAATATTGGAATTTATATATTGCTGTTATTGGTCATCACACACATTTGATTATGGTTATTGCATCATATTATCATAACTTATAATATATTTATTGTTGAAATTAAAATATTATTGTTAGAATTAATTGGTATTATTGAACATTTTATTATTTATTAGTAACTGGCATAATCGAGCTAGATATATGCTCAAATGTGCTCAAATATAGATTTAAAATTATCTTTTGTAGGAATGGCAACGATGGCAGTAGAGGACCTAAGGTCCGAATTGGGGGTGGGGACTTATGGTCGAGAAAAGGATTTATGACACAATGTCTCTGTTATATAAGCCTATGTAATNNNNTTGTAAGGTGAGGGTTATTCCTGGTCTCTTATACACATCTAGATGTGTATAAGAGACAGATATTATAGATATGTAATAAATAGATTGCTAAAATATAGAAACGTGATTCTATAATCATAAAGTATAGCCATGTGGAGTTTTATTGTTTTATTTATCAAATTCCATTTCTGTTATATTTCATTACTACTTATTTTTTGCATTAATATTTCTTTATTGAATTAAAGCTTCACACAGATGACATCAGAGATGATTTGATCCTTGGCACGATAGCAGCATCCAGCAAATCTTGCTCGACGTTGAGCAAGGATGGTTGCAAAACATTGTAAAAAAAATTGTAATTGCACGGCAATCATCCTAGTACTAAAAAACCCTTGCTGCAAGCACTTTTTTTTATTGTTAAATCTCAATTTGACAATTGAGATCGGTTGACCAAAAATCTGCTGTTCGATATAACTGATACTATAAAATTCCCGGAAAATTGTTTGCAGACAACTAAAACATTTTGAATCGCGTTAGATGTGAATGTAATACACTGCAACAGGATTTTTGCCTAAAGTAAGTAGGGAAATCGACCTACGATTGGCTGCAGCGTTTTAATTCAAATTTACTTAACCAACAGCTCTCATACATGATGAAGAATGTAATTTTGGGGAAAAACAGAATGTGTGAGAGATAAATTCGTGCACTCACCAGGGGCGGATTTAGTGGGGGCGGCCCGGGAGGTAAAAAAAGAAAAAAAGAAAGAAAAAGAAAAAAAATGATAGCCCACAACGCCTCAAGTGTTATTTTCCGGCTTCTAGAACACAAAAATTTCGCGGGGGCATGCCCCCGGACCCCCTAGGGCATTGTTGTCTCGATCGGCCCAAATTTCGGCCAACCCTTTGGCCCCCCCCCCTTTTGTACATCTCTGGATCCGCCCCTGCTCACTGTGCCCGACGGTCGCCGGCAGACTCGATTCTATGGAAGAAGCAACGCAACGGCGCCCGTGCACGAATCGTTTTTAATGACGATCCGTTCAGACTGCCACAGACAATCAGTAGACGACGACGCTGCGCCGCCTAAAGGCCAACTCAGACTTGACGATTTGTTGTCGCGTCGAGTTTGTGTGGACAATATTAAACCGAGTTCACAGTGTGTCAAAGGTGACCAAGCAAACCAATATTACTCAGAGAATAATTAAACGGACATCTTTCACATACATTGATAATAAAGGTTTCCAGGTACTCAATAAATCATAATGTAGCTTACGTCGTCTTTTAAAGTACTGTATCCAGGCATGGTGTCTGGTATAAAAAAAGGGATTGTGTTGGGGAAAAAAACCGATTAAGCTGTCTCGAGAAATACGTTAACTTGGAATCTTACTATTAGTTAAAAGAAACATTTGAGATTTCAAAATCTTAAACAATTACTTAATGTGGATCCGGATTTGTTTTCTGAAAAACAAGAAATTATCAACAAATTACAGTAAGATTTGCTTTTTATTTGTCTAAAAAAATGTTTTTTTTTCTAAAGATATTAATTAATTCTGTAGTATAAATATAGGCCTGTATCATTTAGTTAAGTTAGATCCGAGAATACGAAGACTGGCTCTACCACCTTGGTTTAATTTTTCGGCACTTATATTTACTTTGAATTTATGGATTATATTTATTAAACTGAAATACATATTTTATACAGGAGCCAGAGGGCATGTAAGTAAATTAAAAATACAAAACAAATCGTAATATCTCTTGGTTGTAGTAAGGACTTTTAAGCAGAGCAACAGCGGATCCAGGAATTCGGAATAGAAGGGGTCCAGGGAGGAACTTTCCCAGATAGAGAATCTAGACCAGCTCGCAAAATGTTTTTTGAAAGATTTGCTCTACCCCTCCCCCTCCCCCCTTGAATCCGCCACTGATTAATTAAAAGTTTTTGGTCGTAGAAAAAATTTTTGTCAAAGAATAATTGATATCTGAAACTCTCTCCCGTCCTTGGTGAATAATTTCAAAGTAACAGAACAGAATTGGGGTTAAAACGGCCATTGTGGCTTTCCCTTTTCCGGCTATTATCAAGTAACAAGTAAAAGACAATTAAAAGCAAAAAAGTTCTATAATGTTATATAAACGAATAGGATTTTCGTGTTGTGTTAGTTTTATTTTAAAAAGTAGACGTTGTACTAAGTTCTATTCAGTTATAAAACGAATACGACCCTGCCTCCTACCAAATCAGTAGAGAGGCCTTTGAAGCTACCTCCACCACTGTCTTAAAGTGCAACACAACTCATCAGAGAAAAATAATTACTATGCCGTCTTTACAGATATTGTCGAAGTTCTCGGCAGAGAATTTCAGAAGGGCTCTGATGGCCCTTCCCGCGCAAACGATTCATCGAACACATTGGTGCCCTTCCATGCAAATCCTTCTGCCAACACTGTACCAAGTTATAATACTATATGTTATATAAAAACGAATAAGTGTTACCACGAAGGTCTCTCGGTTGTATACACACTGCCTTGCAATTACAGAAAAGGTATCATCAGAGAACTGCACCTTTCTCATAAATCGAGATACAAAAATTTATTTTACTTTAATGTAAATGTTTCCTGTAAATTTAATTCGAAAATGCAAATAATTCTTACAGTGTTGTGCTATGCCGAGAGATACCAATTTTACTTTACTCTCAAATCCAATTTATTGGTTTGCTTAATTAGGCCTACACTACAAAACCTAAATTAACTGACAAAATGTAACTGAAAACCGAGACGTGTGCCTATAAAATTACAATTAATATAAAAGTAATCATGGAGATTGCCGTTGAAAGGTCTACAGAGGCTGAATTACTCATTGGTTGCCGAATGTATATATGCCAAACTGTGGCACTGGTAATCATACTGTGTTTTGTTATAACAAAAGTATACAAGCAAATTCCACTGGAAGCAACATCATTTACAGAACCAATCTCATGAGATGGTGCGGAATTAGTTTATATGTTTGAATACTTTTCGTTTCTATTTTTCATTCAAAATGATTATCGCCATTGAATGTACTGCAGTGTAGCATTTTCACCAATGCTATCTTCCTAATGCAAATAATTGTTGATAGTATGATTCTATAAACAATGGTATAGGACTACCTGTAACTTTCATAGCCCTTTAATTTGAGTATTTGTGTTTGGATACGATGGGGAATTCACTATATTTACTACTACAAACCTGATACAGTATAATTTTCACAGGTCATCAACTCGTCGCCAGAAGCGATAATATGATTTATTAATATGTGACGAACCTACAACACACTGTGTCGTGAGTGTGTTTGCTATGAATATTAGTTTTGTAAGGTGAGGGTTATTCTTTCGTTGACATATAACTATGTAGCATTTAGGTCTAATGACTGCATAGATAATATAGGCTGAATATCCGTGATGGAATCAGAAGTACCGAAATCATTCAATGAATAGAATTACTCATTTAAAAATATTGTTTTCGCAATTTGTGTGGCCAGAACTGTCTAAAAATCCATCTCCGCTCGTTGTGGTGTACAATGGGCCAAATCAATTCAAAGTGTGCCAAAAGTCTCAAAGAGCTGACGATTCAATTTTTTTTAAAAGTTGTTTGAGGAACAAGACATCCCACATTATATTAATCCACCAATATTTGGCGAATTTTCATAATGTTGTAGAACCATGTAAACATGAAACTGCTTAAAATGATAAAAATGAGAATTTTGAAAATCTCGCTGTTATTTCATTTAGAAGAAAGCAGTCGACATAATTCCTGCAGTATTTACCTACTATAAAAAATGCCACTACTAGTACATTTTGGGACACTAAATTTGACCCAACAACTTTCGAAAAGCATGTTTTTTTTTTTTGTTTTTTTTTTAAACTAATACAATAGTTAGGACTGCGAGCGATTGCCGTCGTGATTTTGACGTTAACATTTCTACTGCAAGTAGGAATCGAGAAAAACTAATACAAGAGTTAGGATTGCGGGCGATTGTCGTCGTGATTTTCACGTTAACATTTCTCGCCGTTTTTGATCAAATTTAGCTTTATAATATAAACATTCGCGCAGCCATTGTGATGGAATGTAGTGCGCAATGTAAAAACAAGATACACTTCACAAAACCTCTGCCGCGTTCAGGAGATGCTAAAACACCCTCTAAGTCATTCAAAACAGTGACTCTTGATAGGAAGCAAATGAATAAAATATAAAACATAATGGCAATTGAATCATTTTAAAAGGTAGACCATTGTAAGTACAATCCCAGTGTGACATTGATGTTTTAAAGATGTACTTTTTCATGATGAACAGTAAATATCCCAGTTTAACATGAAAAATATCATCAAAACAACTTAATTTCAGTAAGAATTTTCAGCGATGCACCCATGATTGCTTGGGCTTGATTTTGTTCTCTCTTATTAAAGTTGACCAATGAAAGGTATAAAGTGTTAGTCTGAGTTTAATGTTATAATTCTATAAACAACTCTTGGTGAATGATTGGTGGCGTAAATTTGATCTAATGTACTTTACTGTAAACGGATTTAACTGAAAAATATTTCTTTTTTAATAATTAAGGTGATATTGGATGGCTTAATTTTGATTACTGACGATATCGCTGGGACTAGAGTCAAGTAATGTTGGAAGTGAATAAGGCATCCAATCATTATTTTACATCAAAAAGCTCAGTTGCGCAAAAGTTAGCAAAAACAGTCTTTAAATATTGAAGGTGGCAGGCTTTGTGCTGCACGCGTGATATCACACAAATTTTAAATGTATGTGTGAGATTTTTTAAATATTTGTATTAATAGTAGTTAAATCAACAATATTGAAACAAAACAAAAATTGTAATATTGTGTTCAAATTTTCTTTTAAAAAGGTTTTGAATTTTGGACATTTTCAGGCCTAAAAATGGAAGGTATCTCTCAACGGGACAAACGTTTCATCTCATACCGCTCAATGTGGCTGTACGGCGGGAAAAATGGAGAAGTCAATAACAGAACGTAAGTAGGCCTACCCGTGCTTATGGTATTATCAGCACCCCTATTTGTACACTTAGGCATACTTCTATTACGGTAAATATAACGATATGAGGATGATGGTGATGATGACGATGATGATGATGATGATGATGATGATGATGATGATGATGGTGATGATGATGTCGATAATGATGATGATGATTACGGTGATGTGTAATGATGAAGATTATGTGGTGACGACAGTGACGACAAAGACAGGAGGTCAAATGATAATTATGATGATAATGGAAATATTATATGAAATTATAGGCCTAGTAAAAGTAATAATAATATTAATAGTAATAATTTGGAAGAGTTACCTTATAGTGACAATGATGATTACATGAATAGGATGATGAATATTCATTGAAGGCTTTAGCCATTAAGAGCAATGCGGGAACCTTTCAGAGATTCTAAATCTTATGTCCAGTGTAGAAGCTTGTGGCGCGGCTTGTAAGGCGTTCTCTCATGCAATCGACCCCCGGAAGATCGGGGGTTCGAGGGCGGTGCTCGTCACACTGCTTGTGTCCTTCGGCAAATCACTTTATCTGCATTTTCCCCCTTCACCCAGGAGTATAAATAGGTACCTGGTAGGAGGTGAATGATTCGGAATGGAATAGTAGTGCTGATGCCGATTACACGAATAGCCTATCTAAGAATAGTCCCTCGGGAGCGGAGGAAGTTGTATGATTAATTATGTAGGCCTATCCATTGACCCTTGAGCAGTTTTCTGGATATGTGCGCTATATACATATTATAAAATAAATAAATATAGAATTACATTTCTTTGTATTAACTTTGTTACTAAATGTATTTGCAAGATGTTTGATGATGATGTTATTAAATATTATCTGTTAATTGTAGGCATATTGACCATCTTAAGTTATAATCTAAAGTAATAATTTAAATAATGTTAACGTCTTTATCAGACACATTAGGGAACTGCCTGCGGATCACGTCCTATCCTAAACGCGTAGCATTAAAAGATATGTTACAGATCTTTTCATACCTCTATGTTAATGTTTATTCTTTAAAAAAATGTTTCTATATAACATAATGAGGAAGTCTATGTCAAAACAATTTTAATGTTTAAAATGGTTCAATTTCTATAATATTTAAGTGTGGAGAGCGCCTTATAACATTTAGGCAATCCTGCTTCGTTAATTTACTCTTCTATTGTTCTTCTGTTATGTGTCATGTGAAAAGCGATATGATATGATATGATAATCCAAGACATTTCACTGGTGAATCGTGGTGTACGAAACTACCTGTTGGGCATACAACTGCAGATAATTTATTTTTTAATGTTATTATTATTTTTTTTTATTCAAGACCCAACAGTGTGTCAAACACCAAAAACAATATGATAATCTGTCTCTTATACACATCAGATGTGTATAAATATATATATATATATATATATATACGCCTAAAGATTAAAAAAAACATAAAATAGCATAAAAATTCATTTTTACATATTAAATATTAAAGATGACATTAAAGGTATATATATTACAATTTTATAAATATCGATATTTGGAAACATTTGAACTAAATTTGTCTGAATTTACACCACACAAAGACCGTAGAAAACGAACAGATCATCGATTCGCCTAGCAAGCTTGATGAAGATCGCGGTAAAATCCAAACATTTTGCGCGAGTCATTTATTTAGTTAGATTCCATAAATATTTTATTTAAAAACTGTTTAATTGAAACCAGATTAATCTATCTAGACAATATTTTTTTTTTAATTTCGAAGGCCTAAATACTCTAATCTATCAGTTTTTCCAAAATGTTGTGTTATGGATTGTTGCAACGCGTTGTTCATTTCTATGGGAATAGCTCCAATTCAATTAAATAAGCCCTGAATAGTGTTTTCTATTGCCTGCTAAAAACGTTAAGTGTCAAAACCCCTGACCGTTAGAATTACAGTGACGGTTAGAATACCGGAATAATGACAAGACAAATAACAAATCAAATATTCGACAGCCTAATACGTCTAATGAATAGATTAAGCACTTACATCGATCATTTTCTGATATTTCAACCTTGGCTTAAATTAACAGAATATTCGTGTTTTCATATTAACAAATCTTATTCAAAGCAAATCGATACTACTATAGTAACAAATAACTTATTAATAAGACACGTGATTTAATTCTCGCAAGAATAACCAGAATAATGTTCAAACTATCTGTGAACTTACTCGTCAGTAATCTCAGCAATCCGTCGTTGCAAGGTATCAGGTTAGTTGAAAATCTCGTGTATTTTATATTAGGCCTACTTACAGTGGCGGGTCCAGGGATTCAAGATAGAGAGGGGCCTATGGAGGGACTTTCATAGATAGAGAGTCTAGACCACCTCAGTCCAACCATGATTGGGGCTGATAGGTAAATAAAATATGATAATGCACCTATAGATGGCCGGAAACGGCACTCTCAGACCTAAATTTATTAACATTTTCCTTTTTCCTCCATTTTTTCTTTAAAAATTTTGAAAATTTATAATTTAGGGGCGGGGGGGGGGTTTTTAATGAAAAAAAAAAAAAAAACACTTAGGATAGGTGTTTTGACATTATTATAGTCATTTTTAGAAAAATTGTTATGTTGGTTATCAAAGTTGGTTTAATAATTTTTCATCCTATGTTTAATCAACAAACTAATCACTCAAAAATCAGCAATTCGTCAATAAAATCAATCAATTAATCAATGAATGATTCAATCAATCAATCAGAATTCGATTCAATACAAATATTATTACAAGGTTAAGTTCCAGTATTCTTGTTCCATTTCTATAAATTCTCCACATGAGTAAAAGAACACAGATTTAAACCACAACATAATTGCATTGTCAGGAAAAATAACTTTATAGGGTATTCATGATTAATGATTTCCAAAAATGCTGTAATTGGGTTTGACGTTGATTTAGTTATCGACAATATCTAAGAGCAGCCATAGGACCCACCCATCTTATAGAAAAGCCTATCAAGCAACAGGTTTAACTCTCGTTCCTTTATGTAAGTTAAGAGTACCCACTTTCACTGTTCCCAGAGAGTACAGTGACTTTTACGTCCGGCGGCGAATTATAAATGTTGTCGCGTCATTGTCGTGGCGGTTGTCACTGTTCCTGTCTCAACCAAAGACGGTTGGCTACGGTTTTGAAACTTGCATTTCAGCTTCCTGGCTGAAACAATGGAGAGAGCACACTGGATAAAAGTTAACCGGGCACCAAGTACTGTATGTAAAATCTCCACGTTTCAGCGCAAACAAGTTTAGTCGGCTGTGCTAAGATGCTTTGCGGTTGTTGTTATTGTAATTTCAATATTTTATTGCTATTGTCATTGTCAAAAGTATTAATATTAAGTTTATTTTGCTATCATAATCATTATTTTTACTATGTTTTTTTTCATAAAATGTACCGTAGTTAAACTACTAAATACTTTTTTTGCAAATAATTTTTTTCTATTTAGTAATTTAGATATTTCCTTGGGAACAATGGACCATAGACCTACTCACAATGACAATCGTGTGTTCTGGACGTCTTCAGATGTCTACCCAGAACAAAGCAAAACTCCAGCTGAGAGGGGATATCTTCCCGAGCGAAAGCCTATTGATCATAAGGATCCGGAAATTCCTGATATGAAAACAAAAAATACGAACATATACGATTATCATTCCTACAAAACTATATTACAATCCTTCTCGACTGAAGTCACGAGCACTCACGGACTTCCACATGTCTTTAAGTCTACCAATTATCTAAGTCGCTGTATCTGGGCCGTTTTGTTTCTCACTGGTGTAAGCCTGTTTATTTGGCAGACGTCTGTCCTGGTTAAGCTTTATCGTGATTTTCCTATAAACGTAAAGGTGAGACGATTTAAGTGTTGATGAAATAAAAAGTTTAAAAATAAACATGTAGATGATTTAAAAATTTGAAAATGTGTTTTTAAATATGCCGCCTGTCAAAAAAAATTGGTAAACCTTTACAATTAAACTGAAACATTAGTTCATTTAGTATGACCAAACAGTTAAATTAAACACATAATACTTTAAAAAAACTGTTACTATACAAATACTTGAATCTATTAGATGTTTAAACGTTAATGGAAAACCATATTGAAACTGTATTGTATATATCTGTTAATTGGTGAAGAAAATAGTATGTTTTGTTTTTGTATTTTTATTTCAAATTGTTGGCTAGAGTCTTTCTTCTATAGTGTTATTTGATGTAGATAATATCTTATTTATTTTTCATTTTAACAGATTGAAGTAGTGACAAATTCCGAGCTCCATTTTCCCAGTATCACAATTTGCAACACAAATAAACTTCGGCGTTCTGCTGTTGAAAAATCAAAACATAGACAAACTCTTGTTGTGGACAAGGGTGTAACCCTTCCATACTACGGTAAGAATTTAATAGCAATCTATTTCTTACATCATTTGTAAAGTAGGCCTAATTTTAGTTCCATTCAAATTCGTTTATTGAATACCTCCTTGAGAATATCAAATGTCAATAATCTATTTATTAATGCTCCGCTTAATGCTTAACATAACAATCTGTGTTATTCCTTTTTTATTTACATAATTCGTAATTTAATTTTAGTTCCATTTCGATTCATTTCGTTTCATTGTACACCTCCCCATAATTGAATGTTTCAATAATTCGTTGACATAAGATGGAGTATTTCATTCGGAATATCAAATGACAGTAATAAATTTCAGGTGTATTAACTATTATAGAAGTGGTTTGGCGCAGTAGGAACGGTTTGGTTTCCCAACCTCGAGGTCGGGGTTTCCCCTCGCTTGGGCAAGGCACTTTGTCTACATTGCTTCTCTCCACCCAGAAGTATAAATGGGTACCTGGTAGGGTTAAATGCCAAATAATGCGCTGATGTACCTGCTGCAACTTTATGGAACAATTTGTGTTCCATAGACGTCTATTTCAATGACCGGGGTAGTAATGTGAAGCGCTTGTTGGCATTAAGCGCTATATAAATATAACATATTAACATATTATTATAAACCATACGATGAATAATTTTATGAGTGCCGAAATTGCACTCAAAACATTCATTATTTGGTTATAACATGCAATAATATAAAAATATCGACTAAACTGTAATGTATAACTACAGGTATGAAAAACATTGTATATTCAAGACATAAGCCGAGTGAACAAATTATTTCCTGCATCCTTAAGTCCTGCATTTTACGGAATTGGACGGATTTTTTTTTCTTTACTTTATCACATCATACGTATCTTACATTAACTTGAATATTTATACACTAAAATTACATCTCAAACTCTTTATAGAGCCATGCCTAGCAGGCGACTTCATGTGTAATACTGGCCGTACTTGTATTAAGCAGTATCTAAGATGTGACGGCATAAATCATTGCAAAGACTTCAGCGATGAGTACAATTGCGTGTATGGTATGTATGCCTATGTAATGTAATGTAAATACATAATGAAAATACAAATGTATTATTTGGTCCTGGTTGTTTAAAATATATAAGGAAATTCGTATTAACTTGAAGAAAAAATGTACCAAAAATTACTAGACATGTAGGGCAATAGACCTAGGCCTAAGTAGTAACTTGTCCTGCGCGGAAAGCCTGATTTCCTTAAAATCGCTACACTATATCGCTAACAGCGTTCTCAGTGCAATCGTTGTGCTGTGTTTTGTGTTCCCGACGCATTCAGGAAGACTCCCCGATCCGACCAAGGACTTATAACTGTTACAACAATAACAACAACAACAACAACAACAACAACAACAACAACAACAGTTGAAAGTCCTTGATTCGACAGACCAATCAGCATCACCGAAAGCTGTCGGTGATAGCGTGTAGTGATTGTATGGAAACCAACCTTAACACCAAGTTAGGTGCATTAAACTTGGTTTACATACAATCGCCACACGCTATCGTCGAGAGCTTTTTATATATGAAGCTGATTGGTTGGTCGAATCAAGCTTGATTTCCATACAATCACTACACGCTATTGCCAACCTTTTGGTGCTATACAACGATTGCAGTGAAAACACTGTAGTGACAGTGTAGCGATTTTAAGGAACAAGGCTTTTCCTGGTTTTGTCAGGTACTGCTAGGCAGTACAGCGATTGCACTGCAAACGCTGTAGCGACGGTGTAGCGGTTGTATAGAAACGAAGCTTTACAATTTGTTTTGTATTCCAAAAATTTGATCCGAATTCGTCAAACTGGAGAAATCGCTGAAAATCACCACTAGATACGCTACTGATAATAGACACCCACTAAATTAATATTACACCCTTCTTGGATCTGGTAAACTTTGAAAATAATACGTTTTTTAGAACAAGTAGATACAGAAATTCATATTTTCCTTCTTCCCTGAGAATATTAAACGGTACTTTTTAAGTTTTTTTTTACAGTGTATCAGTTGTTGGGTTTGCGGGTCCTTTGGATCTTAGTGGGAGTGTAGCAAGTGGAGTATAACGATCTTTACCATAACGTCAAAAGCGCTCGAGCGGAAGGGGCTTCACCATGTACACCACTTTAGCCCAATGCAGCCATCAGACTCAGAGTAGTAAGACTAAAAGAGGCCCTGATGGCAAGGGGCCTCATACCTCTTCGTTACACCACTGTATAGAGCCAACTGGCAGATATTTGTAGTAACTTAGTAAATATTGGATAGTTTCGATCTGTGTTTTAAAGAAGTTCAAATTATTTTTTCTTTGAAATGAAATGGAAGTTTATAATTGAATGTGATGTAATACTCTTATTTTGCTCCACTGAGCGATTCATTCCGCCTATTATACCCAGAGTGGCTCTTTAGGCTTTTTTTTCCGATTTCCCGAAACAATACTCAACGATTTTTAATATCTAAAGCAGTCCTAACAATTACTTAAATGTGACCTAAATCACACAGATCGAATTGAATATGCATAGATATAATAAGGTATCGTACATCTTCTCCAATAATTTAAAATAATAATAATTATTGTACCAGTGTACCAGTTATCTAAATAATATATTGTTTTTACTTATTTGCATATATACACGCAATAATCTGTAGCTTTCTGCACGTTTTAATATATCCATGAGATATTACAGTGAATTACATTTTAATTTCCCAGGAGAGTGCAATAATGATAATCTTTTCAAATGCAATAATGGTAGCGATGCAGGCATATGTATTAGTCGACATCTCGAGTGCGATCGCTCTAAAGATTGCTATGACGGTGAAGACGAAGACAATTGTGGTAAGCGTAAATTTGTAATAACTCACGGTGACTTAAAGGGATAATAATATGCATATAATAGGCTATTATGATATAATCATTACAATTTCTTAATAACTATAATCATTTTATAATAATTATATATAATATAGAACTAAGCTTCATCACAAAAAAAAAAAAATCTAAACCATATACGGATTTGTTGAGGGCCTCTTTAAGTCTATTGTGCCAGTGAAAGGTTTTTATGTCGTTCTTTGCAGAGTGCAAATCACGTGAGTTTAAATGTGATCAAAGAGGTGGATGCATACCTAAAGAAAATGTTTGTGACGGCAATAATGACTGTACAGATGGATCTGATGAAATTGCTTGTGGTAAGCTAACAAAATGATGATGATGATGATGATGATGATGGTGATGATGATGATGATTCTATGAAGAAGGCAACGGCACTACGCAGGGAACGGTTAGATTCGTCGTATGACGATCGTGCGACCGTCGTACGGCGCAATGCGTGCCCGGGTCTACACAGATATCGGCTGATTGGTAACGTGTTGATTATCGCACACACTCAAAAAAAAATCAGGAAAGCCATATTGATTCAATATTACTTAATTTGAACACCATCGGTAAATTAGTGTTGAAGTTTATTGTTAGACATTGTAGGAACAGCTCATTACCAGGCAAGATGAATGGATGCTTACTTTTGTAATGGATTATAGATTTCTTTATTAAAGTATTCAAGCATATTGACCCAGTTGGTCCATTTGTAACTTAAACCTAGCGGGGAATATTATGCCAGGTCGCTCAACTCTCAAAGTGTCACGTCTAGAAGTAAAATGTATTTAACCAATCGACAACTGCACTACCACTGACTTGATAGCAACAACCAAATATTGGATATACTCGAAAGGCTGCAAATTTTCAAAAATATAAAATCTATAAATCATTTCAATTACGGCATATAAAAAATATAAAATCAGAAAACAAATGATAATGATAATGGCAATGTTCAAAATAATGATAGGCCTAATACATAAGTGAGCATATTCCATATCAGAGTGTACAAATGCACAATTAAATACAAATGCACTTACCGTATTACCGTTTCGGTGCACATTTTGAATAAAACCATGTTTATATAAAGTTATAGAACCCTGTCAGTAGTAGCACTGAAATTATATTGTGAAACTCAATGAAACGTCACTGAGGTAAATTATTCTCCCGGTTAATTAGTGTTTCCAATGCCTAGACTAGGCTATTGAATAGTGATTGCACCTTAATTTTTTTGTAATATAACAGATAATGAAAAGTGTTCCGAATCTGTTGGTTATTTATGTGAAAGGGAACAAAAATGCATCCCTCTTAGCTACCTGTGCGACGGCCTCGTCGACTGCGACACGGGAGTAGACGAATTCGCTGACACATGCTTAGTGGCTGCCAAGACAACATTAGGTAAGGTGTATATTTAGGCGTACGATTTAAAGGTATTAGCACTCGAGAATAAAATGTGGAATAGGGGTGAATAGACAGTAACGTTGTCTAGTAATCAACCTAATGTTTTTTGGTTTTTTTTCTATATTACCCTAATGTAGGTCTGTTAATGTAATCGTACATAATGCTGTTGCTGTTTTGTTGAAAGGTCTTTTCTGATACAGTATTTGAGTTCCAACACTAACGTTTTTACCATATAGCTCCATCTGTGTGCACCGTTGACGAATTCCAATGCGACGGAGAAAGATGTATACACATCTCTTGGAGGTGCGACAATTTTATTGACTGCTTAGATACTACGGATGAGCAGACTTGCGGTGAAACCAGTGGCAGTGGTAGTTTAGGTAGGCTTTGGTTCCGGATTGGCTGAAAAGGGGTGGCGCAAGCGCGGGTGGGGG